ATCAGACTCAAAACATTAATTCTGTTTCTCTCTCCACAGAGGCTTCTCGGGCCACTGAGTTTCTCCAGCAATTTCTGTTTTAATTTCAGATTTTCAGCCTTGGTGGTATTTTATTTTAATTCAGCGTTAAGACAGGATGCAGCTATGGACACGTAGACCTGGGGCCTGGTGGTTAAACAGTGACTAGGGTAAGAGAGTGTCAGTAATGCCAGCTCTGTGCTATGGATAGTGCAGCTTCACAGCTACATGCAAGCACATTGCCAGTGGGGGGCAGCGCTGGATACCAACACTCATCCGGGTGCATAGGGACCTTTGAAAGATGAGGCAAGCACAAGGGATGCTGGCCTTTTGGTCGATGTTCACAAACACAGTTGTTGGATAGGGCTTGAATCAGGTGAGGGGGCACGGTGGGTAGTTAATGAGGCGAGTTTGATTAGGCAAGGCGAGAGATCTTGCCGTGAGAAACCCTCCATGAAACTTGACAAAACCGATACTTGGCCAATAACAATGCAGGGATCAAGCTGATGTTTCAGGGCATAAGCAGCATTTCGGAGTTGCCAATCTTCTTTACGGAAAGCATCAGTCAGCTTGCAGAAGAGGGCACTCCTTCTGACCAATACCCTGTTTGCCATCCTCCATGAACTTCAATTCACCCAAATCTCCCTGTATCACAGAGGCAGAGTTCCAAAATTACAGTGGCGTACAGGGAGGCCATGCAGCCTAGCACATCTGAACTGGCTTGCTAAGCACTTTAACAAATGGGAATCACCTGCCTTTTTCCTGCAAGCCTGCACATTGGTGTTTAAATTTAAACAATCAGCCAATGCCTTAAACTCCTGCCTGAGCTAACGGCTCCAAATTTCACATGTCCACCAACTGGCACCTTGGAACCACCTGTATCCTAAATTAACATTTTGATCTGTGTGTCCATATGTCTGTGACTCACCTCTACCCACTTCCAAGGTCTGCTCTACTCTCCAATCCACCACGATTCCAGTGACCTCCCACTTCTGGCCTCTTGCATGCACCTGGTTTTAATTATTCCACAGCTTCAACTGCCAGGACAGGGGATCATAGTCAGAGAGGTTGACACGCCCTTCAGCCCATCAAGTCTGCACTGGCCATTAAATAAAAACCCTCCAAACTATTCTAACCCTAATTTTGCAGCAGCTGGCTGTAGGCTTGCAGGCCTTGGCATCACAAGTGCACACCTGTCTGAAATTTCCTCCTGAAACTTTTCCATCTCCCTCTCTTTAAAGCTACCTTTGATCAGTAACATCTTATGTCACTCCATGTCGACCTTGCTTGATAACACTTCCTGGGCAATGCGACTCCCCTTGTAAACACGGTAAGACATCCTATCCAAACACAGCGTGCTGTTGCTGCTTACATCACTGACACAACAGCCACTCTTAAAGCCAGTTACACTCAGGTGTAGTGGAGGAGCACGTGTAAAAAGACAAGGCATTAGTCATTAAATTTCAAGTGTAACAGCGGATAGCAGAGTATAATCCCGAACTAACAAATGATCTCTGTAACTGATCATAACTCCAGAATTGTGATGATGGCTACTGGTAAAACTGACCAAGCTCAGATTTCCCTCCATACCAACCAGTAACGTAGCAGCTCATTGATCACTCAAACACAACCAGCAGTAAAATGGGTTTAATATCCCAATATTCCACTAGTATAGGATTTGGTCAGTCACCACACAGTCAATGATCTCCCAGCCCCTAAGTCTTCTGGTCTCTGCTCATGTGAAGCTCAAACAGAGGGTAGGAACCAGGAAGACTGGGGGTCAGGGAAAGAATGAGATGGGGGGGGCGGGAAATGAGGTTTTAGATTTGCTCGCTGAGCTGGGTGTGTTTGGTTGCAGACATTTCATCACCCTGCTAGGTAACATAGTCAGTGCGCCTCCGGTGAAGCATCGGTGTTCTGGCCCACTTGTTATATATATGCCTCAATTTGCTGGAGTGGTTGGTATTACAAACCACTGAAAAACAGAACCGGAAGTGATGCCAACCAGCCCAGCAAAATCGAGACATACAGATAACAAGCAGGACAGAACACCAACGCTTCACCAGAAGCGCACTGACAATGTTACCTAGCAGGGTGACGAAACGTTTGCAACCAAACACACCGACTCAACGAGCAAGTCTACAACTTCATCCACAACACGAGCTACAAATCTTCTCAAAAACTTTAGAGGGGGTAATGCAATGGTGAGAGAATGGCTAGGGGGGGTAAATCCAGACCTGGAGGACCCAGTTTCAAAAAGAAAGAGCTTCTCATTGAAGATAAAGATGAGGAAAATTTTATTGGAAGCATTGGATCGCTACTCCTGAAAGCAGTGGAAACCAGGTCATTTGAATTCATTCAAAGGGGGAGTCGCACAAGATTTTTAATCTACAAGCAACTCAGGTTTTATGGGGGCAAATAGGAAAGTACAGGGAGGTCAGAAACAGCTCAGCAACCATAGAGTCATAGAGATGTACGGCATGGAAACAGACCCTTCAGTTCAACTTGACCATGCCTAGCAGATATCTTAAATTAATCTTGTCCTATTTGCCAACATTTGGCCCATATCACACTAAATCCTTCCTATTCACGTACACATCCAGGTGCCTTTTAAATGTTATAATTGTACCAGCCTCCACCACTTCCTCTGGTAGCTCATTCCATACACGCACCACCCTCTGCGTGAAAAAGTTACTCCTCAGGTCTTTTTTAAATCTTTCCCCCTCTCATTTTAAACTTAATATCCTCTAGTTTTGGACTCCCCCACCCTCAGAAAGAGACCTTGGCTTTTCACCCTATTCACGCTCCTCATGATTTTATAAACCTCTATAAAAGGTCATCCCTCAGCCTTAGACACTCCAGGGAAAATAGCCCGAGCCTATTCAGCCTCTCCCTATAAGCTCAAAGGCTCCAACCCTGGCAACATCCTTGTAAATCTTTTCTAAACCCTTTCAAGTTTCACAACATCCATCCTATAGCAGGGAGACCAGAACCGCATGTAGTATTCCAAAAGTGGCCTAACCAATGTCCTGTACAGCCGCAACATGACCTCCCAACTCCTATAATCAATGCACTGACTAATAAAGGCAAGCATACCTAACACCATCACGATAACACATTTCACATCTCCCATTTCTGAAGAAGGGTCCTGACCCGAAATGTCAACATTCCTGCTCCTCTGATGCTGCCTGGCCTGCTGTGTTCCTCCAGCTCCACACTGCGTTATCTTGGACTCCAGCATCTGCAGCTCTTGCTATCTCTGACTTTCTTCACTATCCTATCTACCTGCAACTCCACTTTCAAGGAGCTGTGAGCCTGCACTCCAAGGTCTCTTTGTTCAGCAACACCTCCCCAGGACCTTATCATTAAGTGTATAAGTCCTGTCCGAACTTGCCCTCGCAAAATGCATTTATCTAAATTAAACTCCACCTGGCAATCCTTGGCCCATCTGATCAAGGTCCCATTGTACTCAGAGATAAAACTTTCTTTGCTATCCACTACACCAGTTTTGGTGTCATCTGCAAACTTACTAGTCATACCTCCTATATTGACATCCAAATCATTTATATAAAATGACAAAAAATATGATCTTATTGAATGGCAGAGCAGGTTTAAGGGCTCTGATGTCTATTCCTGTTTAAAAAAAATTGAACTCAATCCAAGGCTAAAGCTCGCTCAAACAAATATTCCAACAGATCTCAACAAATTCTCAAACTGATGAGTATTAAAGATTTAAAAATTCAGTTAGGCTGCTATAAGAGAAAAATAATGACCATAAATTAGCTTTCCTGGCTAAAAGATTTGAAGATGATTGATATAGACTAGAACACAAGATAAAGTTAGAGAAAATAAGGGTTAGGAAACAAGGAGAAATCAAAATAAAATCAAAGCTCAACAGAATTAACAACATTGGATAAATATATCAGTGAGAGGAGAATTGTAGCCTCCCAGGGCCTGAGAGAATACATCACAGAATCCTGAAGTAGTGATGGAGGAAACTGAGGCGCCAGAGATTTTGTATCTCTTTGAAAGATCATGGAGGGGCTGAAGGGTTGAGTTTGGTAACCAGATTTTTTTTTTTGAAAAAAGGCAGAGACAATCACTGTACAAAGTTTTAAGAACAAAAAAAGCATGACATTGTGCCTATGGGCTTTACAAAAGCTCTTTACTAATCTATCATGATAGATTATACAGATGATTAAAAGGGTGGCAAGCTGGGATAATTGATCAAAAGGGAGGAAAAGTTTGGGCGTTTCTTCTACCACAACCCCCACCCACCCCAACCCTCAGAGCTGAATTATGGATGTGCTCCAGGATCCAGTTCCTAGACACATCTCAAAATCACTTCCAAATCCAAGTCTTGGATCTGCACTTTGAAATCAAAAATGCTTTTGATATTTGAGGATGGCAAGTTGGTGGTGTGGTGGCATGGTTTGGGTGGGGGTAGGTGGTGAAGGGGGAATGGAGTGTAGTGTAGTCAGTCAAAAGGAGGACTACTACAAATTACAAGTAGACAGTTTTAAGCATTCAGAATGAATAAAGACTGTGAGAGTGGGAAAGGTCACTGAACTAGTAAACTAGAGGACAAGACACAGGTGAGAGTTCAAATCCTACTATTTGAAATTTTTTCACTACTTCCATTAGTAAAGTCCAGAATTGACCATACAAAATGCCATCTGGTTCACTGATGCCCTTAGAGCATAAATGCCATCTTTACCCAGTGTAGCCTGCATGCAACTCCAGACCAATGGGGTTGACTTTTAACTGCCCTCTTTGAGATGGCCAAGGAAGTCACTCATTTCAGGGGCAATCAGGAACAAGCAATCAATAGTGTCACCCACATCTCATGAAACGATACAAAATGTCTAAGGTTTAGAAGAGCCGCCAAGGAATTAAATTCCTTGACACAAATTGACTTCTGGAGCAGGTAATAGATGTAGAACTTACAACAGCATTCAGCCACTAAATTGGCAAATGAAGCAAAAGGAGTCCTGTGGATTATAGTGCACTGGCTGATAATGGATCGGGTTCAGTACAAAAGGCGCTCCATGAAGTGTCCACTTACACAAGAGCTTCACTCCATCCTGAGCCACACAACTCAATTAGTCCAAGACGCACAAATCCGGCACAGCGAAACACCATTTGTCCTGCTTCAACTCTGTCCTTTGAGGCTCAGAATGATCTCAGTGTTTACAGTTCAGTCTGAGAGCATACGTCTACATTAAGTGCCAGCTCACTGAAAAAAAATCAATTCAAAGCAAAGCACAATGCTAGATTTAAAAAAAGACTTTAAAACAAAATCTTTGAATGATGCAGACATAAAGTATGGAGCAGGAGGAACACAGCTGGCCAGGCAGCATTAGAGGAACAGGAAAGTTGATGTTTCGGGTCGGGACCTTTCTTGAAGAAACAATCAACTTTCCTGCTTCTCTGATGCTGCCTGGCCCTCCAGCTCCTTACTTTGTTATCTCTGAATCCAGCAGCTGCAGTTCTTGCTATCTCTTTGAATTATGCAGTCTGTTGTCTACTCCTGGTATTTCCTATTGACCTAAAGAAAATGTTTTTATTTGCATCTTGCAAAGATGGTAATAACCCTCCGGTTGGATATGCATTTCTTCCCAATATTCTAAAATCATCGATTATTGAGTGATGTGACTCCAACATGGCCATTCTTTGGATTGAAATCCAATGAAGGTAATTTAGGTGATGAGAAAAATTACAATATAGCCTGATTCTATCCAACCACCATTAAACTTCTAGAATAGGACTTTTATTCACCTACAGGATGTGGGTGTTTACTGGCTGGGCCAGCATTTATTTTATGTGGCACGGTGGCTCAGTGATTAGCACTGCTGCTTCACAGCACCAAGGACCCAGGTTCAGTTCCAGCCTCGGGCGACTGTGTGCAGTTTGCACATTCTCCCCGTCTGAGCGGGTTTCTGCCAGGTGCTCTGGTTTCCTCCCACAGTCCAAAGATGTGGAGGTTAGGTGGATTGGCCTGTAGTGTCCATGCCACATTGCCTGTAGTGTCCAGGGATGTGTAAATTAGGTGGATTAGACATGGAAAAATGTAGGTTTACATGGAAAAGGTATGGTGATAGGTCTGGGTGGGATGTTGCTTGGAGGGGCAGTGTGGACTTGTTGGGGCGAATGGTCAGTTTCCACACTGTAGGGATTCTATGACGTCTCTAAATGCCCTCAGTGATGAGCTGCCTTCTTGAACTGCTGCAGTCCATGGCTCTCAATGCCATTAGGAACACAGTCCCAGGATTTTGACCCAGCAAGTGAGTCAAATGGCAATATATTTCCAAGTCAGGATGGTGAGTGACTTGGAGGGGGACTTGCAGGGGCTGGGGGTCCCATGTATCTGCTGCCCTCATCCTTCTGGATGGAAGTGGTTGTGTGTTTGGAAGGTGCTGCTTTTGGAGCCTTGGTGAATTTAGACTAAGGACGTGGAACTCAGATTTGTAACAGCCCCCAGCACAAGGCCAATAAGTCAAAGGCTAGAGTTTGGATGAGACCAGAAATTGAATCTGAAACGTTCTAATCTTTTAGGTTTAGTATCTTCACCCACGTGAACAAGAGAGATGAAATGTCCAAGTGGCACTGAGATGTGAACATTAGATCATAGTTATAAATTGTTGCAGAAGAAACCCAAATATATATTTTGTTAAAACTAGAATGATACAAAAAACATCACAAATGGTAAATGATCATTTTATTTCAGTTGACTCAGTTGAGAAACGCACAATCAGATTACAGACAGATTATAATCCTGGATATGGCAACATTTTATAGAAGCAAACATTGACCCAAATCTGGAATAGTATACAGTAAGTTAATTCCTACCCACAACTTCACAATGTAATGAAATGTGGCACCCCAGACAGGATTAAGATGGGTAAATCACAGACTGCCATTAAAAGGCGTGAAAACATTCGTACATCCCCTTCTTTACCTCCTAGCAACCATATTCACTTTTGCTTCCTGTTGCCAAGTCAAATCCAGAGCATGTCTACACCATTGTGTATTGCAAAAACAAAAATCCTTTGCCTCTAAACCACCATTATAACTAGCCTGCAACATGTCACCTTGTGATGATTTAATTTTTATTTATGTCAAATAAGTCAAAACAATCACAAGATCTGGCCTGGAAAATGGAAACGTCACAGGATGCTGGGATTAAGGCACCATGCAGCAGTGCGGAGGAGTCAAAACATAGGCACCAGGCAGAAAATAAGAACTGGAAATGCTCCATTCTCCAACATGGAGATCGATTACTAAAGTGTAAAACAAAACAACAGAATCTACAACGGAGACAAAATATTAGTACATTCTGCATGGAGTCAAAATAAAATTCACAAAGGTACCAAAAATCTAATCACTTGCTCAAAAGGAAGCACAGTCCAATCTCAAAGTCCCTACGAGAGACAGTGTCTGGGCCTTTCTAAGACTGGGTGGTCCTTATCAAACCAGCTTGTATTGGGCAAATATACAAACAGCACAGTTCAGGGAACAGAACCTCCTGGTGGATTTCCCCTAATTTTTATGCAGTTCAGGATTATAATAAAGTTCATGGTGATCCTAAATGCACCCTTTTGCTTTGGTTAATTAACTTTTCTGACCAGAAAATATCACCCTCTTTCTGTGAGGCAGTGGCTTTATCCCAGTAATAGATGTAGACAGACCTCCCCAGGGTCACATCCTTGATTTGAGCTGAGAAATAATGTGCATCAGCTATTTGTTCACTGGTGCTAAAATTAAACAGTGAAGTGGCTCTTTCACTACCTAGAGAATAAAACAGACAAATTCATGTCCATCAGCAGCTAGTTAGATTACTCTTCCTCGGAATTAAGTCCGTAGATTAACCAGTTTTTCAGTAATCAGGCATAGATTGACCACAGAATCCAAATAAGCTCTGCCATAATTAAAAGGCACTAACAATCATTAAGGCACTATTCAGTCATTTTTTCTTTATCTACTTAACACTTCTACAAAGTCATTCTCAGCTCAAATATACCAATTCTAAAGAACTTCATAACTATCCTGTGTGACAGATTAAATGGATACTCAAACTGCTCTTACCAGCTCTAAACCTCACCCACTCCAACTGACTGAAGTCAACTGACCTGCTGTACTTTCTTGTGCACTCTATTTAAAAAAAAACATAAAACAAGATGAGTTTCTCTTGGCAACCACATGAAAATTCTTCAGTAAATTCTACTTTGTCAATTTTTGAACCAATATCTCCAGATATAAGCAGTAACATATACAGAAACAGAACACTATACTGGTAGTATCAGAGCAGAGTTAAGTTATACTTCACTCATGAAAGTGTCCTTACAATGGTCATCATGGTATTTCAATTGTGAGCTAGACGTAGTAACGTGGCAATCACTTCAATATCTTTCTATTGCAAAGGGTTTTTTGTGAAACAAAAGTACTCTTGTTCAGCTTATATGGTAAAAGGATTGCATTTAAATGTTGTAACATTTCTACACACTCGAGTACACAGCAGTTTTTACATAAAGCAGAATTAAGGACAGGAATAATTTCGGAAACAGATCGGCATTTAAAAGCAAATGGAACAAATGTGGACTTTAAGATCTAACAAGATGGATGAACACATAACAGAGCAAATATTTACAAAGGTGAAAACAGAAGTATTGATTTATGCTTCCAAAGGCATGCAGAAAATAATTCAAATTGTTATAGAAAAGGCATGTGGACTATACTACATATACAGAAATAAAAAAGTTGCATGTGTGAAATATGCAACTTCACAAATTAATAAATGTAATTTTAACCTTGGCCAAAAAAGGGCCCCAAAATGATACAGAACAGGTGCATTATTGTATCCAAACGTTCTTGATACACAAGTTGTACAATGTTTGGGAAAAGTAAATTGGTTAAGTGCTACACACCATCAAGGTTACCAATTCAAGGCTGACATAAATTAAACAATAAAACGTGACAGAACTTTCAGTAGCTACAAATTGATATGGAGCTACCTGTACTTTATCCCACCATCTTTCAATGTCCCAGTGGTTACAATGGTGGATTAAATATACCAAACTTAATTTCAAATCAAAATTTAAAAAAAAACACACCAAGAGGCCAAACTTCAAGCTACCAATTACTGAAAAGCCAAGTAAGTGAGCTCTAATTGGACAAAGTTCAATTTTCAAGAAATCAATTTCTTAAAATGGCTATTTTCCACAATGAGCCAGTTTCCCTGTGACTCTGCTAAAATTGTAATCACTGAAATGTAGCTCAAAACTCTAAGTGTGCAAAACTGAGACCAAAACTCCATTGTTAATTGCCAATTTCCAAAGATCCAACTATAAGTCCCTCCACTTAATGAGCTCTCCATCCCACTTCTCTAGTGGAATGGTGCTTCTAAATATAGTTTAAAATTTGGGCCAAGCACCTTCAATATGAAAGAAAAATCTACTTTTAGCTTTCATTAGAAAAACTAATCTTCACCTTGCACTAGCAAAAAAAAATACATTTAAAAAAATCAAACTTTTCATTTCACTAACATGTCTACTGAATGTTAGAGCTTGGTTTGGAAAAAAAAAATTCATTTAAAAACATTTTTTTTTTTTTTAAAAATTACCATGGTTCAAAGCAAGATTTTGACTACACCCTGAGGTGATGCAGTTGCTTGCGAATAGACCTTCGACGCAAGTGTCCCAAACTCCAGCCTTTTGGCTAACCTGGAAATACAATGAAAATCAAAAAAATTTTTGGAATAGAGAGAGAGAGAGAGAGAGAGAGAGAGTGTTATTTGAGACAGGACATATACCGCTTGCCCGTATTTTATGCTTGAGGGGAACAGACGACCTTGGACCTACAGTTCCCAAAACTGTCCGCCAGAGAAGATTTCCTCGCCTTATGTTGGGATCTGTTAATTGAGAGATTAATCGCCATAATTAGTCAACAACTCCAATCTTGTTCGCCATGCAACCACCAGGACAGGTGGTGGTAAAGCTGGACGGATCTTGACCTTTTTCAGCCTAATAATTCCTATGCTGCATTAGTGACTTGAACACAAGAGACGAACTGAGAGAACTGCGGATGTTGTAAACCAAAAAAAAACACAAATTGCTAGAAAAGCTCAGCAGGTCTGGCAGCATCTGTGCAGAGAAAGCGGAGTTAACGTTTCGGGTCCAGTGACCCTTTCTCAGAAGGAAGGTTCACTGGACCCGAAACATTAACTCCACTTTCTCTCCACAGATGCTGCTAGACCTGCTGAGATTTTCCAGTAACTTCCGTTTTTGTTCCCAGCAATATCCATCGCCATGCTCAGACTCTCAGGAACTTCAGACCCTACACATCACCACCAGCCTGCCAGGTCAAGTCATCACCCCATTTGCAAATAGTTCCCAAACCAATTGTTCTCTTAATTTCATTAATAGTTGAGAAGCATCATCGGCTAGACAGGCACTTATTGACCTTCCAAACATGCTGTGGAGGTACTGGTGGTGAGCTGCCTTCTTGAACCCCTGCAGCCCACGTACTGCATGAACACCCACAACACTATTAGGAAGGGAGTTCCAGGATTTTGACCCGGCAACACTGGTGATACATTTCCAAGTCAGAATAGTGAGTGGCTCAGAGGGGAACAGGCAGGGGGTGGTGCTCCCATGTATCGGCTGCCCTTGTCCTTCCAGGAGAGGATCAGGGATTTGAACAGCACTCTTGAGGGAGACTTAGCAAATTGGTGCAGCACATCTTGCAGATAGTACACAGTGCAGATATTGTGCAGCAGATGAAAGGATTAAGTGTCCAAGGTACTAGATAGGGTGGGCTGCTTTGTCCTAGGCGGTGTTGGAGATGCACCTAATCAGGCAAGTGGAGAATATTCCATCAAACCCCACCAACTCCCACCCCTCCCTACCAAGTGGGGCCTTGTAGATCATGGACAACCTTTGGGAAGTCAGAAAGTGATTGCAGGATTCCTACTCACTGACCTGTTTCTCATAACTCAGTTAAGTATCAGGGCAATGGCAACCCATAGGATGTCAATGATGGGTGATTCAGTGATACTATGTGTATTATTTGCCACTTAAATCGACTTCAGTTTCAACATTGCCCAGATGCTACTTCCTGCAGGAGCGAGTAATATCCAAAAAACCATCCTATTCAAATTCAAGATTTCCTGACCATTTGTTTTCTCTCTCTCTCGTGCAAAGGTTGCCTAACCAGTTCCACCTCCATAATATATTTTGCTTCTACTCCCATTTCAATGGGTCAGCCATTAAAAGCTCATCAATGTATCAGTTAATTATGCTGAGCCAGTCCACTTCCCTTACGCCATTCTAAATAACCTGCAGGTTATTCAGAGCTCTACTGAAAATTCCTATACTTTGCCAGGCCCTACTCAGCCATTACCTTCCCTTAGATGCATACCGACTCTAGGTCTTCATGTCTTAAAAATATATCCTTATCCCTCCACACACCTTCTCATTGCTAATTCCTCTTGTACTCTTCTAATCTTGATGACTGAATCCTGAACGCATACTATTAAGAGGTATCTAGGATCCAAGCTCTGGGTTTATTTCAAAACATGATGCGAAACTTAGACCTGACCAATCTTTGGCATACTCCTTGTTCGACATTCATTTTTTCTTTATACCTCCAAAGAGACTGTATTTAATGCAAATTGGTTTTGTCTTGATGAATTGGGCATCTTCTAAATGCCTTTATAAGCACGGGCTGGAGTACTGATTTGATCAAGCTACAGAACAATAGAGTCAGCTATTTAGCCAATTACTTTAGCAGGATACAAGTGCAGTTCAGTTATAGTAGTTGCATTTCAAAATACTTCAAGTCTGTTAAATCATTTTACTAACCCTTTGTCATATTGGGGTAAATTGGCATTGGATACCCTGTTATCATTGTTGTCTTTTATTGCACAGTTTCCATTCTGAGTGGACGACAAAGTTGCACGATTTGGAGATTGATCCCAAACAAAATTCCTACAGGATGCAAGTTTGGACTCCAGAGCCTGTAAAAATACAAATTGCAAAATTTATTAATGTTTACCTCAATGGTTCAGCACTACAAACACAATCTTACAAATCAAGCATTGGCTTGAAATCAGTTTGCAACAATTGTAGCTAACAGCACTCATGTTAATTGTACAAACATTAATTAGAAGGAGGTCATTCTTCCTCTCAAGTCTGCTCTACCATTTCACAAATTCATGGCTAATTTAATACCACTCCTGCCCACCACTCAACTCTGACTGTCTTGTCAATTAAGAATCTGACTCCCACTTAAAATTATTCAATGACCCCCAACCTCCACTGCCTGGAGACAATGTCTCCCAGACCAAACAATCCTGGAGAAAAAAATTCTCAACTTCATCTGAAGTGGGAAACAGATTTTTTTTTTTTTTTTTAAAAAACTGTTCTAGTCTCTCACTTAAGGGGAAACACCCCTCACTATCCACTCTGTCAATTCCCTTCAGGATCATGTGTTTTTCAAAAAGAACATCTTATTTCTCAAAACTCCAGTGGACACCGGTCTAACCTCTCCAACCTTTTCACAGAACAAGTGGACCTTCTGAACTAATGTCATGTCCTTTCAATTGTTGCAAACATCCTGATTTTCATATTCCAATTCCCTTGTAATAAACTATAACATTCCAGCTTCCTTCCCGAGGGCTTGCTGCACCTACATACTAACTTTGTGATTCGCGTATAATGACACCTAGTTTTTCCCTTAATTCATTCATGGAATGTGGGTGCCGCTAGATAGACCAACATTTATTGTAAATCCATAATTGGCCAGAGGGCAGTTAAGAGTCAACCACATTATTATGGATCTGGAGTCACATAGAACAGGTAAGAATGGCACAATTCCCTCCCTAAAGGGCATTAGGGAACTAGATAAAAATAATCAGAGATAAACTATAGTTTTTTATTGAATTCAAAATTTCACCATCTACCATTGGTGGGATTTGAACATAGACCCCAGAACAACAGCCTGGGGTTCTGGTTTACTAATCCAGCAACACTACCAGTACACCACTGCCTCAGTTTTACAATCTCTCCATTTGAAGAACTACAGCTTCTCCATTCTTTCTGCCACATTCATATTTTTCTAGGTTGTACTGCAGCTGCCAACTGTTGCCCATTCACTTCATCTAATCCCTTTGTAACCTACGTCTTCTTCACTTTTCTATTTGTGTGTCAAATTTAGCAACTATAAATCTGGTTCCTTCATCTGAGTCATTTATATAGATTGTGAATAGCTGAGGCCCCAACACAAATAGAGATATCTCATTGGTTACAGCTTACCAATCTGAAAATTACCTATTTTCCCTGCGTTCCAGTCAACCAATCTCTTATCCATGATAATATCCTTTCCCTACTCCACTTCATGAGTTCTTTGAAGGCTTTAGCAAAGACATGTAGCTCGGGTTGTGGGTGAGGTTTTGACTTGCTCGCCCTTGTTCCGACGTTTCTTCACCATGCTAGATAACATCATCAGCGAGGCCTTCAATGAAGCAATGTTGTTCTACTCCGCTTGGAATTTATACTGTCCGGTCTGTTATGGCGAGTAGTGTCATTTCCGGTTTTGTTCTGTATAGGTTTGTATATGGGGTTCAATTCTATGTGTTTGTTGATTGAAGCATGGGTGGAGAATTAGTTTTGATTTCGATTCGTAGTGGTCATAGAAGTTTACAAAATACCGTCACAATGACTGCCACAAACATTACATCAGACAAACAGGAAGGAAACTAGCCATCAGAATACACTAACATTAGCTAGCAGCAAAACGACACAACAAACTTTCCTTAATATCAGTACACTAGGACGATGAAGGCCATCAGTTTAACCAGGATGACGTAACCATCGCAGCCCAAGCCAAACATAGACACGCATGGGAATTCCTAGAGGCATGGCTCTCAACCCATAATGCAATCACCAAACATACAGAACTGGACCTCATATACAAACCCATAAAGAACAAAACCGGAAAAGGACATTACTCACCATAACAGACCGTACAGTATAAATTCCAAGCTGAGTAGAACAACTTCGTTTTATCAGAGGCCTCACTGATATTACCGAGCATGGCGATGAAATGTCTGAATGAAAACAAGCCAGCTCGACAAGCAAGTCAACAATTTCATGAGTTCTTATTTTGTGTAATTATCTTTGATGTGGCACCTTGCCAAAATGCCTTTTTGAAAGCCAAGCAAATCACGTCTACAAGACGCTCTTTATCCACGTTCCTTAATCCGTGAACTCCAGTCAAACAATTTTCCTTTCACGCACCATGTTGACTCTGCCCAATTGCATCAAGATTTTCCAAAATGCTCGGCGACAACCTTGTGAATAGTACATCCAATCATGCTTCAGACTCAACATTGGAAGTTATGCAACTGCACAAAGCTGTATACTCACCCACTAAACACAGCAGAGAAAAAGTCACTGCTTTCAAGAGCGAGTGATTTTTTTTTGTTACTGACAGGACCAGTCATTCCTGGCAAACAAACTCTGACAGAAAAAGGCTGAATGTGCAATCTCATTTCTTCAGAAGTTCCTGTGTTGATATATCATTAAAAGTATTTTTGTGTTTCTATCACATATCTTTCCCCTTTAATTTATTTTCTGCACATGATTTAAATCTAAATTTATACTCTTGGTAACAATTCAGATTCTTTGATCCAATTGGTTGAAGGACCATGCTATTGCGTGTGTGGTGTAGTTTCCCTGCAGACAGCGCAGTGCCAGTTCAGACATCCACAGCAACAAGTTACTGCCAAATAAATAGGCTGTGCCGAGTCTTTGGCCAGCTGCCAGCATCATGATGAGACAGAACTGCCCCTTCACTCCTCGCGTAATCTGGGCCACAGAATCCAATATGCTAATGTCTCATGACAAGTCATCTTGTCAAATAACACTACAGGTTGTTCAATACGGAGAGAGAGAAATTTTCCAAGTTCCACATTTCACAAAAAAAAAGTGATTCAGTTTCTTAGTCATATCACTCCAAAGGGGTCAGAATTTAAACAGTGCCTTTCTCTCAATTTGGTACTTTTTTTTTTTAAAAAACAGCCTAATGTGGGGCAGGTTAAAACTCAATTGATCAAGACAGCCACTGCACATTAGCACATCTAAAAATCTCAGTGAAAACAGTCAAGTCCAGTGAATATGCACAGATAAGTACATCACTACCCATTCATAAGCAAATAGCAATAAAAATTAAAATGAATAGCAGCCTACATCAAAAGTCTTATGGGGAGAACAAAATAAAACGTCTTTCTTCTTAAAAAAAAGCGTTTGCAGTACTGAGGACAAACACATTTATATCAATCTTCAACAGGCCCATGCCCAAGGAGACCAAATGCAAAGCTCCAGGAACATGTAATCACACTATTTGCTTAAACTCAACAAATCGTGACTGCCACTCTCTTTCCCAGGGTAATGCCTTGACCAGTCAACGTGCCTGGTTTCAAATGTAAAGCCTGGAGGTTAACAGCCATTGTTAACTGCTGCTTTTTCTGTAGCTAAGCCCTTCACAGAGTCCACCTTGCCAACCAGTGCTTGGTTCACATATGGTATTTTTTCCCAAATTTTGCAAAAAAAAAAAAAAAAAAAAAAAAAAGTCTTCTGTTGAGTGTAAGATGAGAAACAAAACTATTCTGTTTACTGCAAACCTATCTTCACTGGTCAGTATATACACTGGCATTCCTACAATGTCAAACTGTAAGACCAGCCATATCAGTAATCTCAAATAGGGCCTGAGCCATTTGGTCGATAGACAAATTTAGCGTAGAAATCAGGTACATTAAAGCCATCCTGCAGGATAACAGCAACCCCAATAAGATCATTTCTTTATGTATATCATGCAAACCCATAACCAGCCCTGAAAAGTGGTCCCTTTGGATTCCAAAGACTACTCTACTTCAGGTAGTCTCCCAAAGCTTTGAACAAACTGAAGTTAGCCGTCTCCCTCTCAGCTATTATACAAAAGCAACATAAGCAGCAAATGCCACAAACAGATTGCTGCAATCAAGCCAAAAAGGCATTCTGCCTGTCACAAGTGGGATGCATGAATTGCAGGGCTGGTGCAATGGCAGGTATGTAGACAATACACCGTTCTGCCAGACTTTGCATATCAGACAGCAGATCCTTTAGGTTGTTGGTACAAGCAAGGTACTGACCGTACGCAACTTGCATACGCTTGCAAGGCTTGTGTCAGTGTGTAAAAGTGGTTGCGATTTCATAATTGGACAACAATTGCTGGACAATGCTGTGTGCATGACAAACTACTCCAACAATCAATTTATCATAGTCATTTGGCTTGCAGTGCATTATACTCGCACACATTGGGAGTTTTGTATTTTTATATACAGGTCCTAGTTCTTTGCAGTCAGAAAGGAAATGTACATAAACTACACTTGTTTTAATCCTACAAATCCGCTGGTTCACGTTTCAGAGCAATATCTTGAGCAGAGTCAATCTGTCTGGTTAAAAATTTAAAATAAGCTCTGGCAGTTGACTGTCAATCATCTTTAAGTGCTGCATTATCCATGCCAATGCCAATGCCTCTACTGATTATTCAGCACATGACTCAAAATAGAAATGTTGGTTTCTCCCTTAAATTGGTATTTTTTTTTTTAAACACACATCAGGATCATTTGCAGGATGAAAAGCTTTGCTGAAGTGCATTTTTTTTTCAGCAACACAAATTATCTAAGTTGAACACCACGTCTACACATTAACACCCTGCTCCATTCTGTCCATGCAGAAAAGTTACAAAGGTGCTAGCATTTGCAAACCCAAGCTTTTGGCTTTCCTTTGATATACTTTTGTTATGGTTTGATGTGACCAATGTCCTTGGGGCAGCCAAGAGGATTATGCTACATATGCTTGGAAACAGGAAAGGCAAAGACTCACAGTCTGAGTTCCAAAAACTTGACAAAGTTAGAGAGCTGGACCTTGAACAGTCAAGGCACTGAAGGAATCCAGAGATCAGGCACTAGTGAGA